ACCCATCTCTCTGTTTAACTTTTTTTTAAAAAACAAAAAATACTGTCACATGGCATGAGGAGAGTAAAGCTTCAGGACACCATAAGGGTTATGTGTTCACTTTATAATAGTATAGATAGATAGATAGAAGATATACCAAATTTCCCTACCTGGATAAAATACAAAGCAAAATTATTGGGAAAATTACAAAAAAAAAAAAGAAAAAAACTTTGGGTAGCATTGGGTAATGTTTTAAAATTATAATTTGAAAATAGAGTTATATTTTGAGTTTGTGAATTTTAGAATTATGATTTAAAAAGAGAAAATTTATTTGATTATGAATTTTGAAAAGAGTTTTAAATTTTTGATGTGACATATGAACCGAGAAAAGTTATTTTGTTATGAGTTTTGTGAAGAATTTTAAAAACTTAATTGAAAAATTTATAACTCATAATCAAACAAACAACTCAAAACTCTATTAAAAATTCTATTCAAAACTCATAACCAAACTCTTTTTAAAATTCAATTCAAAAATAATTTGTCATTTTGGTCTAAAAAAAAATTTATATATTTAAAAAATATAAAATATATATAATTTTTTTTCCAAATAACATGTGGCGATTGCCAATTGCCACACACAAAAAAAAAAAAAAAAAAAAAAGAAGAAGAAGTAAAGTAAAGTAAAGTAAAGTAAAGTATTGCTCCGGTCAACAGGCCGGACATACGGGAGAATGTCCAAACGAACGACCTGGTAGACCAAAAATTGTATGTCCAAACGGACGACTTGGTAGACCAAAAATTCAAAAATTGTCTGATTTATCAAAAATATTTTTAAAATTTATTTTGAAATTGATTTGAAATTATGATTTGAAAACTAAAACCAAACATAGCATTCAAATATAAAAATAAAAAATTAATTAGAAACTCACACCAAACAAAACCTTAGAGTTTGGCGTATTTCTCAAGGTTTCAATTTTAACAATTAAAATCCTAATCACTTTGCTTGGTTTCCATTTTTTAAAAACAGTTTTCAGAAAATTCTACACTCTTATTTTCCGTGTTTTTTTGTTTTTACTGAATTTTTTAAATATTTTATGTAATTTTTTTACTTTTTAGACACACCTAACATAAATACACTTAAAAAGTAAAAAAATTATAAAAAAAAATCTTTTAAAAATTCACTAAATACCAAAAATATAAAAAAAAATACAAGAATTTAGTACATTTTTTGTATTTTTATGTATTTCTTAATTTTTTAAAATATTTTTTCACAATTTTTTTATTTTTTAGACACATCTAAATAAGGTACATCTAAAAAAATAAAAAATATATATTTAAAATTTTAAAAATAATCACTAAAAATAAAAAAAATACGAAAATCAAAAAACTCAATTTTTAAAAATACAGTGAATATTATTTCTGTATCACAATTAATGGCCCCCATCCATCTTCATGTGATCTCCGTCTACTGATGTAATCCACACGTCAACCTTAGCCCAAGCAAAACTACAATCTCAAATTAACTCACGTCATCCACGCATCAGCCTTTGCCCAAGGCAAAACCATAATCTCAAATTGTCACTTTAAATATTTAACTTTGGACCAACCATAATCTCAAATTGTCACTTTAAATATTTGAGCTTTGGACCAAGTACTTAGCAAGCACCTTAACCACTCTTCTATAGCAATTTTTGTGCTAAATAGTTCGCAAACAAATTATATAAACCATTTTAACTTGGTCTTCTTCAGCCTTTTCTCCGTTTGCCGAACTGAACTTTCCGACGAAAGTTCAGACTGCGCGTGAAGGCGTATGGAACCTCCTTTTGGGCTAATTTTTCTGGGTTTGAACTCTCCTCGTCAAGACACCATCTCTTGGTATGTTGAAAACTTTTTACAATTGTATCGTTAATTTTATTTTTATTTTTATTTTGCTTACTTTTTTTACATACATAATCTAAATGTACTTTCTAAATAGATCTAATCTAATCTATGGCAAAGTTTCATATGTATATATTAGTTCGTAAGAACGTTTTTAAAATTTTAAAATTGCTTCTAATTTATATCAATTCAACCTATATATATTTAAAATGTTTCATATTTAATTAATTGAGTTTTTCATTTCTTCACATTTTGCTTACTGTTTACGTATATTTTTTGGATCGCCCATGTATATATAAAATATAATAAATTATTTGACCAATACTTAAAACAACATAAAATTTCACATCCGTCTATCAAATTTAAATTTAGCTAATTTTTCCCACTAAATAGAAAATTAATTTTTAATTTATTCGTTAGAAAGTTTAGTCTGGTAGGCTGAGAAAAGGTTGAAGAAAACAATGTTAAAATGGTTTAAATATTTTGTTTGAGAACTATTTATCGTAAGAATTGCTATGGTAGAGTGGTTAAGATGCTTGCTAATCACTCATGTCTCATTTGAGAACAAGTTATTTTAATAACTTTTTGATTTTTTGGTTAAAATATGAACTTTTGACTTATTCGCTAAAATTGTGATGAACTTTTTGGCTTATTGGTTAAAATTGTGAAAAAAAATAATATAAAAATGGGTAAATTGACAACCCTTGTCGTAACCCGTGACAGTATGATGGCACGGCACTGTGCAGATTGACAGCCATCATGTCATGTATGTAACTTGTATTTAAAATTAATTTTTCTTTTTCTTTTTTCTTCTTTTTTTTTTTTGTGAAAATTGACTTGGATTTAAAAAAATTCGAAAACGTGTTTGGTTACAAATTTTCTCAAAAAAAATTTAAAATTACTTCTCTCTCTATTATACATCAATCAATCACTTTTTCTCTCTCCTCTCCTTTTTTCAATTATTTTTTTCTCTCATACACATCTATTCAATTATAACAAAATATTAATCACCTCACACTCTCAAATTTCAAAACTATTTTCAAAATATACAACCAAATAAATCAAAAAAAATTCTAAATTCTCTCTATAAATTTTTTAATTTATCTCAAAACACAAACTAAATACATCCAAGACTCTCAATAAATTTTTTCCACACAATCACAATGAACAATTTTTGATGGCTACCTAGTACACGAAAAGGTGTGAAACGGAAAACCAATTTGGCTGCCTAGTATGTGGTTTTTAGGCTACTATGGCTTCGTTTGGGAAGCCATGGTTTGGGATTTTTTGACTATTTTAGCCACAAAAAATAAAATAGTCTATTTTAGTCATAACAAACAAAACATCACATCCAACCCATAATCATTACATTCTTCTCTCACAAAAAAAAAAATTCTAAATTCTCTCTATAAATTTTTTAATTTATCTCAAAACACAAACTAAATACATCCAAGACTCTCAATAAATTTTTTCCACACAATCACAATGAACAATTTTTTATGGCTACCTAGTACACGAAAAAGTGTGAAACGGAAAACCAATTTGGCTGCCTAGTACACTAACTACTATGTGGTTTTTAGGCTACTATATATAGATTTGTAGGATAAAAATTATAAATTTTTTTAATTTTTTTTAGTGACTTTTAAATTAAAATAAACACTTGCCAAACGTAACTTTAGTCCAAAGATAGAATCCCCATAGAGACTAACGCTTCGTTTGGGAAGTCGTTTGGTTTTTTTATTTTTTTAATTTTTTTAGCTATTTTAGCCTGGGGCTAAAAAGCTTAGTTTCAGGAGAGCTTTTGGTTTTTTTGACTTTTTTGATTTTTTTGTGAAATGAAGAATGTAATGATTATGAGTTGAATATGATGTTTTGTCTTATTGAGTTACAAAATTTATTTTGTTTTTTGCGATTATTTTAGCCAAAAAACTTCAAACCTCTCTTCTCAAACGGAGCCTAACGCGTGGAAGATAGGGGAGATGGGATTGAAAACCACGTGATACTCCATGACTTTTTTTTTCTTTTTTCTTTTTTTTTTTATTTTGCCCAAATTTTTTTTATATTTTTCAAAAAAGATAAATTACACTAACATCCTTAAAATTTTTATTTAATACAAATATTTCCTTATATTTGAAAATTCACGTTTATCCTTTGTCAAATTAAAATGACATATTTGTCTTTTAATCTTTATACATATAAAATAATAAAATAATACAAAGATTTTGTTCATGTTATTATAGGAGAAATAACAATCATCTTTTTTAGTTTAATTCATATAAAAAATTGAGTTTTTTTATATTTACTAAATTTTTTTAATATTTTAAGCAATTTTTTTATTTTTATTTTTTAGATACACTTAATTTAAATATACTTAAGAAGTATAATATTTTGTGATGTTTTTAAATTCACCAAATACAAAAAAAAATATAAAAAAATTCAATACATTATCTTATTTTGTTGTATTCAATGGATTTTTTATAAGTTTTTTTGTGCAAATTTTATACTTTTTAAATATATCTAGATTTAATTGATCTAATATAGGTATAATGGTGGAAATCAAAATGAAAAATTATTCATATGTAACATTTTATATAAAAAAATTATAAAAATATTGTGAAAGTGATATTGTTGTAAATATAAATCATGTTTATGAGTGTTTTATTTTAAAGTGAAAAGTCACTATTAAGGTATATCATTGTGTTTGAAAAATTTTATGTAAAATTTATGTTTATATATCATCACCTAACACAAATATGTTCAGGTAGGATTTAATGATAAAAAATTGTAGAATGTAGTCATGATAATAGCAAAAAGAAATGGTAGAAAAAATGACAAAATAGTCATTTAAAAAATTTTAGGATATAATATTAGTAATTCAGGGCCCAATTTATAATAAGGTTACAAATCGTAAGAGAAAAATGTAACTTTTTAAATACAAGAAAATCTGTATTAAACAGAAATTTCAGAGATCTAACTGTGATTTACTCTTTTTTGTAATTTGTTCAAATTTCTTTATATTTTTCAAAAATAAAAATAAAAAGCTAAAAACAAAAAACAAAAAACAAAAAACAAAAAGCACAAACACACGGTGGGAAGTCTATCCATAGTGGACTTTACACCTGGTCTGCTCTTGACTTAAGGTGGAGAGAGAGAGAGAGAGAGAGAGAGATTTCCTTGTGTGGAAGTAATGGAGAGAAAATGATAGAAAAATAGAGAGCAGTGAGGAATTCTACCCTTCCCTTATATCTAATCTTCTTCGCTTCCACTCCACTGATACACACACACACAGAGAAAGAGGACAAAGCCCCAAGAATTTTGATACCCTACTACATGGACTCCAAGTCTCTGCGTTTCATAACCCACCAATCATTCTTCTCGGCCGTCCGATCGGGCGACCTCGAATCGCTGAAGCGATTCATCGAGGATGAAGGGTCTGATCATCCATCTCTTATGGCTCTGCAGAACGATTCAGGCGAGACAGCTCTCTACATCGCTGCCGAGAACAACTTTCAAGAGATGTTCAGTTATTTGCTCAAATTCTGCGATCTACAGATCGCCATGATCAGGTCCAAGTCCGATTTTCACCCTTTTCATGTCGCCGCTAAGCGCGGTCACTTGGGTCAGTATTCTTCTTTGTTTGATTTTGATTTTGATTTTGATTTGCATCTTTTGAGCTTTGAATCATTGAGTTTTCACTCTTTATGCATATGGGTTTTGTATTATGTTTTCAATTTTGTTTGCTTTCAATTGGCATCTTTTAATTTTTTTCAAGAGTTTTCACTGTATTTATGCATATGGGTTTTGTATTATGTTTTCAATTTTGTTTGCTTTCAATTTGCATCTTTTAATTTATTTTTTTTTTCAAGAGTTTTCCCTGTATATATGCATATGGGTTTTGTATTGCGGTTTCAATTTCAAGTGTTACAATCGTAAATTAGGTCGATTAATTTTACCCTTTTTATGTTTGCTTTTGTTTTCAGCAAAATTTTCACCTATTTTTTCGTGTGTTTTTAAATTTTTCATTATTTTTTGTTTTCAATTTCAAATGTTACAAATCTGAATTAGTTAGAGCATCTCCAATGGTTCACTTTTTTTTTCATCAAACCTGTGTAAAAAAAGGATCATTTTTTCAATTTGATATTAGCTGCTCCAATGGTTGTCGTCAAAGGCAGGGGTTGACCAGCAGGGGTCGACCGGTAAGGCAAAAAAAAAAAAAAAAATTTCTTTTTGAACTTATTTGAACCTACCTATGTGAACTGTTTGAACCTTTTTCCGGTCGACCGATGGCCCACTTGCAACGTTACAGCACAGTGAATTGGTGAACAGTTTGGTGAAAAATTTGCTCTGTTCTCAGTTTAATATTAGTTTGGTGAAACCATTGGAGCAAAAAAAGTGACTTTTTTCATCAAATTCAAATTTGATATTGAATCTGATGCAACGTTGAAGATGGTCTTAGTGTAATGTTTGGTTTAAAGAATCTGTTTTTTCACCACTTTTTCATGAACTTTTTTTAATTTTTAAATTTCATTATTATTATTATTATTATTATTATTTTGTTTGTTTTTCAGAAAACAGATGTAAACGGAATCAAATGGAGTAGTATCATGGATTTTTTATTTTAATTTTTTTGTCAATAAGTTTGAGATAAGTTCACCAATATTAAAAGGACTGCGCCAAGTTGGATATTCCAAGGCAATACATTATACATACCCACAATCATGCAATTATAAGCCGAAAAATCACAACCACCGATAACACCATCAACCGATAGGAAGTCGAATAAGTTCAATTGTCAAAGTCCAACATTACATAGGCACAAGCATACAATAAACCTAAAAATCACAAAAACCATGACATTGTCCACCCTACTCAAGACCTGAAAATCAAGGTAAAATGATTGTCAACCGGATGTAGCACATGAGTATCAACCATTGAATTTTCACATATTTCAATTTCAAATGATTTTATTCATATCTTGTGTTCGTGAGAGCTAGCTTTGATCTCATCTTCAAATAATTTCTCCAATTATATATGGCCTCAAACGTGGCCCATAAAGTTTTCAGTAGCAACCAGTGTTATTTAGCACAATTTGAGTGTAATTTGAAGCACCATATGGATAGGGCATCTCTTAATGTCTGAGCAAAATAAAATTTGGGAAGTGTGATGAGCAACAGTTACCTACAAAACCCAATAGCTGGTTTGGGAAAATATAAGAAAGTTATCATATGTGTGAGGCTAAGCAAGTTATACACCCAGTGTAAATGAATCTTGTGGCAATATGAATGTCTGTGCACATATTTTTTGTAGGCATGCATATCATATGAGTGGTATTCTAGTTCATTACCTAAGGGCAGACAGACCTGTTCTGGTTTTAAAAGAATTGATTTTTACTAATTTTTAATTTATTTTCACTAGCCTTTAATAATGCAGAATCTGTAAATTTTATTTTTAAAAAAAAAGCTTTATAATACTATTGTTATGTATCTCAATCAGCATAAGATCCATAGGTTTAAACAATGATGAAGAAGAAATTAGAAAGTGTTGTAAACATTGAAATTTGTGCATATAATGACTGCTGGTTCACCTTTTTGTTATTGTTTTCATGGACTTTCGGCTTGGTATGGCATTTACCTTCATTTTTTTTTTTTGTAGGGATTGTGAAGGAACTTCTGGGCATGTGGCCTGAACTTTGTAGGGTATGTGACTCCTCAAACACTAGCCCCCTCTATTCAGCTGCTGTGCAGGATCACTTGGATGTAGTGAATGCTATATTAGATGCAGATGCCAGCTCAATGCGGATAGTGAGGAAAAATGGGAAAACTGCATTACACACAGCTGCAAGATATGGCCTTCTTCGAATTGTAGAAGCACTTATAAGCAGAGATCCAGGAATTCTCTCTGTCAAAGATAAGAAAGGCCAAACAGCACTCCATATGGCTGTAAAGGGTCAGGATACTTCGGTAGTTGAGGATTTATTGCTTGCTGATCACTTAATACTGAATGAACGTGATAAGAAGGGTAATACAGCTGTCCACATAGCCACAAGGAAATGCCGCCCACTGGTATTTTTTTAAGATGGAATTGCATAGTTTATTGTGAAATTTTCATTTGTCATAAATTAATTACATGAATTTTTGTTGTTATTGCACGAGTCCACATTGTTTACTAAGGAGTTACCCCGTCCTGGCCTCCCCCCGCCAACACATGGTTTTGATTGTCTTCGGAAAGATAATGAAAATAAGGGTTAATGTGTTGTAGACTGAAGATAGTTCATTTGATTATAAATTAGTGACAACATGGTTTGCTCAAATTGAATGGAACTGAATATCTTTCTTATTGGAACATCTGTTGATTAGTATTAAACTTTTCTCCAACAAAGTGTGATCTTTGTCTACTTCATTCCATGGGTGATACCAACATTTCTATATTTTGACTTCAAAAATCATAGGGCCCTTAATACGTGATTCCATTGCACTAGAGACCATGGCCTTGTATCCAACTTCAGTTCTAGTTTAGATGGCTTCCTAGTTCTTCATGTCCTGAGGTAATGTGCAATATCCTCTCAAGAGGTCAGTCCTGCCATGGATCATACCCAAATTGACTAAGATTTCTGCAACAAATTGTTTAGGTAGAATGCCTCTCCCAGAACAACCGACCACAAAAATCATCACCTTCTCCAAGTAATCCATCTCCTAGTCTTGAGGATTCCTTTTCAACCCCCCATTCCCAAAAAAAACATCACTACCCAATACCCATGTCCCGAACATAGTATGATATCAAAGTTTCTTTGCTAGCAGTGATGAGAAAAATGACAGGAAAAGCTCTCTCTAGTATGTCATCTTCACTTGTGGTGTCGAAACTTCATTTTATCCCTGCTTCCCACCTTGGCGTTGGCATATTTCAGTAAATCCTCCAAACAAGTTGAATGCCCTTCCATAGCCCTCTCCCGGGAGACATGGTTACCCATTGAACTCCAGTCATCCTAGGAGCTCCCATAGTAATTTGATACTTTAGTAAGAGGTCTCACAGTGAGATGAATGGTATGGCCATGCAATCTTTGATGTTAAGTGAAGGGTTTAGAGGTGAACTCCTTGTCAACCTACTCAAATGTAATAGGAAGGCTTGTGATTCAGCTAGAGTTCTTGAAAGGGTTGATCCATTATATAATAGAACCAAGGTTTTAAATAACGGTGATGGTTACCATAACGGTAATGGTATCGTTGATGTGGTTGCGGGGTGTAACAGTCACAGCATAACTGTTACCCAAAGAGCAACCCAAGAGGGGGGTTGAATTGTGTTTCTAAAAAAATTGCTAAATTAAATTATTAACCCAAATAATAAATAAATGAAAATATGAAGCAATAAAGATGAGAGTAATAAATTAAAATTTAATCCAAATGAGAAATAAATAAAAATATGGAACGATATAAATGAGACTAATACAAATAAATTAAGCGAAAGGGAAAAGAGAGCAAACACAGAATTTATAGTGGTTTGGCTCAAACCAAGCTTACGTCCACTTCTCAAGATCCTCCTTGAGATTTCTTTACTATTTGTCAAATAGTAGTTACACTCCTTGCTTCATAGGTGCTAGTGAACCTTAGCAATTGATCTATTCCGATCACTTTAACCAACTAATTTTGAATCCGGTGCTAGTCACATCTATTTTATCTCAAAAATCACTCAAAAAAATATCACTTTCTTTTACAAGAAAAGAAATAAGGTATAGAAAATCTTTTTACAATAAAAGCTCAATTTTTCAATAATTTTTCTCTCAAAGAATATTACACAATGAAGTACACAACATAGAGGGCTTTTGAATATCACAAATATATCACTTCTTTTTCGCTCATCTTCTCTTCTGTTAGTCTTTCTTCAACCAAAGTACATCTTATATATTCCTCAAAAATATATCCGTTGGAGACAAATGCTCCACGCAGAAGGAAAATTCATGAAAGAAAATCTACAATCTCGAAGATTTGAGCACACTTCAGCAAATTGGTCAAAATAAGCTTACCACATCAAGGGAAATTTGCACTAATCAACAAAACAAGGAAAAGAAAGCAATGATTTGCCATAAGACACTCACCACGTGGGTATGTCTTTGCAAAAACACATGCCAACATACATACATGCAACATGATACATTCAATGCAATGCAAACATAATCAATAAAAAAATATTTAAAAAAAATTAATATCTTTAATTCTTAATTTTGTGTCAAGGAGAAATATAAAAAACACAACATTAAATATATTTTAGACATCATGAAAATCAAATCATAAGATTAACAGTAACGGTGTGTTCTGATCTGATCTTTTGTATGCTAATGATGCTTTGATCTTTTGTGGGGCTTCTCCAAAGTAGTTGGGTTTTTTGCAACGTGTTCTATTGTGTTTTGAGGCAGTTTCAGGTTTGAAGGTGAATTTGGCCAAGTCTGAATTGATTCCGGTTGGGGATGTGGCTCAGATTTCCACATTGGCAGCTATTTTGGGTTGTCAGGTGTCTTCTTTGCCGGTGTCTTCTTTGGGTTTACCTTTGGGGGCCTCTTTTAAGGCTAAGCAAGTGTGGGATGGGATTATTGAAAGAGTTCAGTGATGTTTGGCAGGTTGGAAAAGGTAGTATTTATTTAAGGGTGGGAGGTTAACTTTGGTAAAAAATGTGGCTTCTTATTTTGGGGAGGTTGGGGATGGGGGTGGAGTGGTTTGGGATCTTACTCTACGTCGTTAGGTTCAGGATTGGGAGCTTAGGCAAATGGTGGATTTGTTGGTTTTTCTTTATGGGGTGCCAGCTGTGGAAATGGGAGATGATGTCTTGGTCTAGGGAGGGCCAGGAAAGAAAGGCGTTTTCTCGGTTTCTTCTTTTTATCGGGGTTTGTTATGGAAGGGGAGTTCCCTTGGCGGTGGATTTGGGTCACAGGTGTTCCTTCAAAGGTGGCTTTCTTTGTGTGGTCTGCGGCTTTTGATAGTATCCTCAAAATTGATAATTTGGTTCGCTGGGGACATTTCTTGGTCTACGTTACATGGACTCTTTGGAATTTCAGAGGTACCCGTGTTGACACAACATGACACGACATGGGTGCGGGTACGAGATACGACTCTTTGCAGATGGATATGGCAGAAGAAATGAAAGAGAAGAGAGCAAGAAAAGAACCTGGTCGCCGAATTGGATCTCATCTTCTTCGCTCGATGCTTCTCTCTCGACTTCTCTCATCGATCTGTCCTCTCTCTCTCTCTCTAATCGATAACAAAAAAATCATATATAATATAAAATAAATCAAATATAATATAAATTATACATAAATTATTATTTTATTTATTATATATATAAATAAATCATTTATTTTCAACAATACATATATAATATAAATTATTTACGGCTAAAATAATTTTTATATTTTTTATTTTAGTGGGATTCAATTCAAAAATACATAATATTTTAGTGGGATGACTAAAAAATATATAATATTTTTTTGACATATCCATATTTAGCCGTATCCACGTGTATGTCTAATTTTTGGATACTTTTTAGATGTACCCGCATATCCCTCATTTAGAGGTTTGTCGAGTCCGATCTCTAGATATATATCCGCACCCGACATTCGTACACAAGTCCATATAGCGTGGGTCTTGGTTAATTGGTGTTGTAAGTGCTGTGTTGCTTCGGAATCGGTAGATCATTTGCTTGTTCAATGTCCAGTGGCTTCTCACTTGTGGGCCCTTATTTTTTCTACTTTTGGGGTGCAGTGGATTCAACCGAAGGGTGTGTTGGAGGTCTTTTGGAGTTGGGTAGGGAAGAGACGTCGGAAGGCTTGGGCTTTGGCTCCATTGTGTTTAATGTGGCTAATTTAGTTGGAGAGGTATCGTCAGATTTTCTAGGAGTTTGTTCGTTCGGTGTCTTGGCTGGAAACGAGGTTCCTCCATGTTGTGTGGATGAGTGTCCAGTCAAATGGATTCAGACTTGTTTACCTTGTTGGATATTTTAGATGATGTGATTGGGTGACGTTGTTTAGTTTTGTTTTGTTCTTGTTAGCTTTGTTTCGTGCTCCTCTCGTGGGTGCTGCTTCTGTATTCTTTTGCATTTTCTTGATGCTTTAGTTTCTAATATATTTCTTATTTGTCAAATAATAATAATAATAATATTAACAATAACGGTGGCAGCAATCGGAACCATGTATTTTGTAATTCTTTGCACAATTTTAGGAAAACATACCAATACATATGTTATTTTAGAATCACATTTAGTGAGGTTCAAAATAATTTTTAGTATTTTTGTTTAGTTTTAAGACATGATCTAATATATATACTAATTTTTATATTAGTTTTAAGTAGTAGAGAATTTTACTAGTGTTGGATTTATTTTTCTTTGCTTTACTAATTATACTTATGGATAACTTCCAATTTGTTAAGGGAAAAAAAAAATAAAGTATATTTAATATTAAAAATAATAGTTTCATAAACAAAAGTTCAAAATACAAAATGTTAACATAATAACGTAAAAGTACATAATATGAAATTTAAATTTTGTTCAATAAATTTAACGTAAGAGAAATAGATAGAAGTTAATATTCAAATATAATTAAGTGAAAAAGTGATGATTTTGTAGAACTTGAAGATTGGACGTTCAAAACATGTACAGATAAGATTTTTATTGAAATTCTGTATGTAATTAGAAAATAAAAAAAAAAGAAAATAGCATTATATACAAAATTTTATAAGTAATAATAATTAAAAATAGAAGTGCAACAGTCATAACGGTGTTATAGCAGCAATTTTATGGCCTTTATGTAGTGGAGGCGGCCATTACGGTTGTGAATTTCTGTCTCACACTTTTTAAAACCTTGAATAGAACAAAGTGAACAAGTTGCCAGAATTTGATCAATGAGTTCCCTGGTGTTTCTCTATCATATAGTCATAATTCATTCGTCCTGGGATTTATCAGTACTCTTTTTTATCATAATAACAAAAATCTATGGAGCAGTTGGGAAGAACAGCAACCAATTTCTTTTTGTCAATCGTTAGAAAAAGGAGCATGCTCAGCCATGTACATAACCTCCCCTTATTCCCATGATTCCCTCTTGCACCTATTCTTCTCAACTGTCAGCAACATGTATGCCTAGTATGTAATTCATTTCTTAGGATCTCTGAAGCCAAGCTTTTGTAGAGCTATTTTAAACTTATGGAGAGTTGTTTTTTTAGTTTGCAGACTCAAATTTTGAGCTTTGGTTCCATTTAATGTTGGTAGGTGCTAATGCTTGTTACTAGTCGTGCAACTCAATCTGGGCTAGCACACTGATAAGCAACATTAATACTATATAATTTCACAGGATGTTGGAGAGGAAAAAATAACGGTAATTCATTGAGACCTGAGAAACTAGTAAACGAGTTTAGTACATGAAGCTCCATTGAAGAGAAGTAAAAGAAAAAAAGACGAGGCAGAATAAGCAGAGAAGAAGACAGACAGACAGCGAAGAAACGAGAACCAACCCAAATCAATATATCAAATAATCAAATGCTCAATTCGTAACATATTCTGCCAAACCAATTACATATAGGCTTATTTATAGTTATCCTAGAAAACATAATTGCAGTGACCAAAAAAAACTAAATTAAATAATTGCTGATAAAAAAATAAAACCTAATAAATATAAAATAAGACCAAAATTAAATTGAAATCCCTGATCTTCAATTTATGTTCATCCAATGTCTTCACGATCTCCATCATTAAGGGGTTGTTTGGGGTGTCCTAAATAAGTGCACTTTTTGTCTTTTTAGACTAGAAAGTTGAGAGAGAAAATATGGATGTTTGGGTTAACTTTTTGACTTTAGAAGTTTCCTTTGACAATCAATTGCTCAATATTTCTTCTACTCCTTTCAGTATGAAACAAAACTCTGATGAAAAGGGTAGTTTTGTTATTTCTGAGGAAATTCATGATTTGGCCAAGATGAATTGATGCATATATATTGGTCATATGTCCTTTTATGTGCCGATGACTCTTTGTTCTCTTAAAAGAAAAAAAAATCCAATATAAGTACATCCTCCATGATAAATGCAAACAATATATTTGTATTTCCTTTCTGTAAATATTGTAAGGTTGATTCCCTCGCTGATGCTTTTTGTTCGGCAATCATGATAATCTACCTCTTTGTTTCAGATAGTTGGCTTTTTGTTGACCTATAAATCTGTCGAAGTCAATGCAATTAATAGTCAGCATGAAACCGCTATGGATTTAGCAGATAAACTCCAATACGGAGAATCTGCGCTGGCAATTAAGGAAACCCTAGAAGAAGTTGGTGCTAAGCATGCAAGGCATGTCGGCAAAGTGTAACTTTTTGACTTTTTATAGAAAAATGTGTTTTAAAAAATTGTATAAATTAGTGTGTAGGGGAAAATTAGTATTGGGAGTTGTGCAGCCGTAATTTTTGACTTTTGGTGAATAGTGATAACTTTTTAACTTTTTCAGTAACTTTTTGATTTTTTGACTTTTTTTACACTTCCCAAACTTGGCCTAATTTACATCTAATATGGTCAAATAGTGTCCTGATTCATCCTCTGCTGTGTTGGTATGCTATACTTTCAGAGC